CGTCATCTCCACCTATGCCCCGACAGATTGCAGCCCGGATGCAATCAAGGATGAGTTTTACCACCAGTTATCTGTTCTTCTCCAGAAAGTGCGTTCGACAGATATTGTAGTACTAGTCGGAGACTTGAATGCTCAGGTCGGGCATCTAGGCACAGAAGAGAGTCGTTTAGGTGGCTGATGGGGACTCGTTGGTCGCAGGTCAGATAACGGGGACCGTCTACTGCAACTGTGCACAGACCACAACCTGTTTCTGGCTAGCACTTACTTTCGGCACAGTCATCGCCGATGTGCCACCTGGCGTCCTCCCTCTACATCTCAAACCTCGACTCAGATTGATCACATAGCGATCAGCTACCGCTGGCGTGGTTGTGTACAAGACTGCCGCTCCTTTTGTAGTACCTATCTGGACTCTGATCATACCCTGGTCTGCGCCAATCTTACCTAACTTTTCAGTGGACAACGAAGTGACCGCCATCAACGGATTGATATTAGCAAGCTGGTTGCAACTTCCGTTGCAAGTAAGTATCGAACCGAGCTAGACTATAGGCTAGCTACCACTCTACCAAAAGTATAGATGAGCATTGGTCGCAATTGCATGACTCCATGAAAATGGCGGGTACAGTCAGTTGTGGGTTCGCGAGACGTCCCGCTTATAAGCACTGGGTTTCTTCAGGTTCCTTACAACTCATCGAAGCCCGTCAGTCTACCCCATGTGACCGTGAGTTTGACCACAAACGAAGGATGTTACGTAAGGAAATCGGGCAAAGCTTGCGTAAGGACCGAGAAGCCTGGTGGTCGGAGCGTGCTAATGAGTTGGAAGCAGCAACTGCATCTGGTAATTACCAGAAGCTCTTCCAACTCATCCGAGCCACTGGTAGCTAGAAGTCTGGTGTGAGTGAAACAATCTGCGAGCATGATAGGATGCCAATCACTAACATCCATCGACGTCTCGGACGATGGGCTGAATTTTTCGAAGGTCAGTTCAACTGGCCTGTTGCTCCGGCAACATCGGTCAGACTATCCTGCACTCCATGGCCGGTGACGACTGATCCACCAAAGGAGGCGGATTCCGCAAGGAACTCCAACTCTTCAAGCGTTACAAATCACCTGGTCCAGATGACTTACCTCCTGCTCTTTTTAAAGATGGTGGTGAATTTCTGACTAAGGAATTGATGACGTTTACAAAGGTGTGATAACTAGAGAGTGTACCAATGTAATGGAATGAGTCGATAGTTGTCCCTATCTTTTAAAAGGGTTCACCTCGTTCCTGTAACAACTATCGGGGGATAAGTCTACTTCCGATTGCGTCCAAACTATTGACTTCCGTCATACTTCGTAGGTTGTTCAAAACCTGAGATAGATTGACTCGCGAGGAGCAGGCTGGGTTTCGTTCTGGTCGAGGATGTATTGATCATATCTTCACCCTCCGCCAAATGTTAGAACACCGCCATACTTATCAAAGGCCAACAATCGTAGTGTTTCTTGACATCAGGGCTGCCTTCGATTCGTTGGATAGGACTGTTCTCTGGGATTGTCTATTGAAGAAGGGTGTGCTTGAGAAGTTTATTAACATCCTAAAAGCCCTATATACAAACACCTCAGGCAGAGTGAGGGCATACAACCACCTCTCTCCATTGTTCCACTCGAGCAGTTGGGTTAGACAGGGTTGCCCAATCTCACCATTCCTCTTCAACTTTGCCATCGATGACATTCTGGAAACAGCTCTGATGGATGTAGGTAATGGCGGTGTGGATCTGTTGCCTAGAGAAAGACTTCTCGACCTTGAGTATGCGGATGATATTGTCTTACTGTGCGATAATGCACAAGCCATGCGATCCGCACTTAATCAGTTGGCAATCAGTGTCCGTATGTATAGTATGTGCTTTGCACCTTCGAAGCGCAAAGTACTTCTACAAGACTGGCAGGATTCTAATCCTATACTCACCGTGGATGGTGAGCAGATAGAAGTAGTCGAGAAGTTGCATAAGTCCTGGTGGTGGCGTGAGTGATGAGATCAATGCACGTATAGTGAAAGCCAGGGCGGCTTATGCCAATCTGGGCCATCTTTGGCGCCTTCGTGATGTTAGTCTGGCTGTAAAAGGTCGGATCTACAACGCGTCGATGATAGCAGTTTCGCTCTATGCTTGTGAAACCTGGCCTCTCCGAGTTGAGGATGTTAGACGACTCTCTGTGTTTGATCATCGTTGTCTCCGAAGGATTGCTGACATCTAGTGGCAACACCATGTCAGTAATGCAGAGGTTCGGTATCGTGTGTTCGGGCACAGAGATAATAACGCAATCGATGTCTTTATCTTGAAACATCGACTTCGGTGGCTTGGATATGTTCTACGAATGTCGTCCCAGAGAATTCCACGTCGTGCATTATTTGCCGACTCTGGGACTGGTTGGAAGAAGCGGAGAGGTGATCATTGTGTGACATGGTGTCGTGGTATGAAAGAAAGCTGCAAAGGGTTGGGTTCCGTTGGTCCTTCACGACTCCCTGGTTGGGGTCCGGGAGATGGTGTGACACAATGGCTAGAGACGTTATCAGATATGGCTCAGAATAGAAGCCAGTGGCGATCCTGCTGTAACCTTCTTTTACTTTGTTCATAAAAAGTGGTTGTATCTTCCTTAAATGAAAGGTTTCTTCTGATTGTACCTTCCCATTCCCTCATTATTACCATTATTATTACTACACTACCTTACACTAACCTCTTCGTTATTGTTCTCTTTTTTTACGCTCCTACCTTTTTTTTCTTTCTCTTTGAATTCTCATTGTTTTGTGTGGCGCATATACATTTGGCGCATTCTTGTACCAATATCTATGTCTTAAAATAAAATAATAAATGCTAAGAATTAGACATGTTTAACATTTCTACATGTTTTGAATTTCAGAAACTTTCCAGAACATATCAGAGACTAATCGTGTAGTTTAAAAATAACTCATCCAATCTAGTTCAACTTTTAAGTCTAACTTTGATTTTTAAATCTAACCTTAACTGTCAACTCACTCTTTAAAAACTGATGATTCTTAAACCTAGTCGTTTTTTCCGTTTATTGTAATAAACAATTTTACATTCAAAGATCTATTATTTATGTCAAAACTGTTTATCTATTGTAATTTTTTTTAACTAGACACTGTCCTCTGATTGGCTGACAAGTCACCCAAGGTCGTCATCGCAACAGTTTCACCTTATTCTGGTCTCATAACATACACACATACTTTTGATAGAAAATGACATGAAATGAATATGCTAATCATGTAAAATATTGTTGAACTTAAAAAAAACGTAGATAGGAAAAACATTGTACGTTTAGTTTTGCTGATCATGTAAAGAATAAGAACATAATTTGATCTGTTAGATAAATTAATGATGATGACGAAATGCTATTTCAGATTGTCTACTATCTACTGATAGTATTGTTGTTAGTAATATCGTTGTGCTGTCAATATATATATATATATATATATATATATATATATAGAGAGAGAGAGAGAGAGAGAGAAAGAAGAAAAAAAATGGACAAACATAATAGTGGCAAAGCGTTAACAAATTTCAGACAGCAACTATGCTGTTTTTTATATTTATCTTCCTTATTTTTTACCCAGAATAATAGTTAACAAGGAAAGAAAAGAACACAAATGAATATATACATAAATATATCATTCCATTTCCATAATGGAATTATACAAGCAGTGTTGTAGTTGAGACAATATTATGTAAAATGTGGATAAATGTGATGAGTGAAAAGTTGGTATTTGAATTTTAGCTAAGATTACAGATCATTCTCTGGGGAGGTGAGTGAAACTTTTATATATATATATATATATATATATATATATATATATATCTTTGCCACAAAAAAAGTTTTTCTTTAATATCTAGGCTCGTTTTTACGTCATAACATACCATTCAAGTATGTTTTTTTCAAGCTGACAACTGTTTAGTAATTTTGATTTTTGTATAGTATTGCAAAACTATGGTAAACTTTGAATCAAACTGAATATATATATATATATATATGAATATTGTTAATGAGAACTAATTCGTATAAATTTGAATTCGATAAGAAGACGTTTAAAATGTGTAACCTAATAGTTAATAATTTAATGTTAAGATCAAATTAAAATATTATAGTTCTATAATATATTAAACCTTCATATGGAACGAGATCCCAGCGGAGGAAGAAATTAGGAAGAAGCGCCGGAATCGGATAGGACACACATTGAAGAAAGCACCCAACTGCGTCACAAGACAAGCCCTCACATGGAATCTTGAAGGCCAAAGAAAGAGAGGAAGACCAAAGAACACATTACACCGGGAAATGGAGATAGACATGAGAAAAATGAACAAGAATTGGATGGAACTAGAAAAGAAGGCCCAGGATAGAGTGGGTTGGAGAATGCTGATCCGCGGCCTATGCTCCATTAGGAGTAACAAGCGTAAGTAAGTAAGTAAGTTATATGGAACGACAGAATTAACGATACAAATGAGAAATGAATAGGAAATGTTAAAGAATATGGATGAAGGTTAAATAGAATGATTTTGTAAATAGACTTTATATTTCCCCTATAAATCATTAATAAGAAATATTATATTATGTAATAATGTAATCTATGAAAATGTTACCGATTTACATATAACTCTCTTTGATTAAAAACTAATATAAGTTGAAAATGATAAAAAACTGAATTTTTAGTATCATTCTAGTTTATGATATATTCGGTATTGAATTCCTTCTACTTTATATATTTTTTAATCATGAAGCTTTAAATGTCATTGTTTAGTCACTACCACTAGACCATTTTTAGGTTGCCAAATATACCATCCAAGTTTTACTTTATATTTCTGTATTTACAATAAATTGTATTATCCTAGAGATTTTCCAGTTTAATATTAGAGGTTACGATACATAAAACAGTATCATTTTATAGGAGATTCCTTTGATAATATTAATAAAAAAATTGCAAACCATTCTCTACTAGTATATAAAACCAACCTTAAAGTCGAAACCTGTTCAGTATATACGACATTGGTAACTAACATGCATAATAGGTTCAGATAATTTTTCCAATGTGGCCTACCTAACTAAACGATGATCTGTGATCAATAAATCTTTCTTTAATTGAAAAATATCAATTATAATAATGAAAATGAATAACATTGTCTTCCATAATTGATTCTTCTAAATAACGACAATATTTGATTGTAGATGGAAGTTACTCTGTTAATCGGAATAATGTTTAACCTTCATCTTAAATAATGTGTAGAGTATAATGAAGAAGATATACTCTTCAATAATTATTGTTTTCATTGCGTACAAACGTTTTGAACAGATCATTTAATTATAATTATGAAATACAAAACAAGGCATTGCGGTAAAAAAAATTCTAGTGTACAGCGTCTCCGAAGCATTTCTGACATCATATTAGTAATATAAAGGTCTGGCAATGTGAATTTGAACTTTTTGGCGATAATCTAATGGATGTAATCATCTTTTAGTGACGGTTTTGACATATGTTATGAATGCTATTCCAGAGACTTCCACATTGTGCATAGAAGGAAGACGGTTCTATCATCAAATGTTTTGATATGTTTTTCTTAAGGCTACATGTAAAGTAAAGCAGTTACTATTCATAGTTTCGAACAAATCATTTACAACATTCATGAGAATGAATGAAATAACACATTCTGCTCTCTTGGTAGTTTTACTTAATAAAGAAACCAATCAATAATCTTAACGCTACTCAATTCGTGTCCTGATTTGTATCTTTTTAAGTTATGTCAAGTTTTTGTCACATAATAATTATTTGATTGCTTTGGTGTTAGCCTATTTTCATTGAACACTCTGTATATAATGATTTGAAAACCAAATGACATAAACGCTATATGGTTTCAATTAGCACATATCAAAAGGTGTACAACCAACAAATACAATAATAATAAATTTCAACAAATCTTTTATTAGTCCACATTTTGTACAATTATGAAGTACCTATTCTTAATATTAAAACGTATTAATTTTTATTTTTCATTCTTTCAATGAATTTATCAATTGACGACTGTAATCTCTTGTAAACACTGCAAATGGAATCACTGGACCACACCAATTTTCAATAGCTAAAATTTTTTCAATCTGTAAACCTTTTACATTGCATACAGACAGTAAATGATCATCTGCTTGGTCAATCAATGATGATGTGACACGTAGGAGATTCTGTAAATAAGAATAACAAAAGTAGTATGATTGCTATATGTATACATAAGGTAGAATTGAAATATTTCCTTGTTTTCAAAATATACTACTTTAATACAATAAAATAATACTATGGTAACCGAGAGTAAGCTACCAGTAGACTGGATTCTCGCTTGATATCCGATACACAAACTGAATCACGCTATACCAGATACACGATTAATGACCGAAAATAGAGAACCAGAGTACTGACTAGACACTACTTTACTCAGCACAGTTACATGTAGTCTACATTCAGTGAATCCAGAGTAGAAATCAATAATACGAAGAAAATCACAAATTAAACAGTCAGTGATCTGTGTCAGTCAATTCATGCTCAATGACCAATCACACTCTCACTAGCCATATATATCCATCAAACCGCATAAAGTTTTAATTTACAACTCAATAACTCAGTATATATTCTATTACTAAACTTAGAACTAACTTTCTTTAAAAAACATTACAGATACTATCAAAATATGTTCTTAATGAGATGAATGAAACATTTAGAATTAGAACCTCAATATATGCTTTACTGAATTACCAATCCATAAAAGTGATGACGGAATACCCTGACAATAATTATATTTTCGTAAATAACATTCATGCAGTCTGAGCCTTTAAAAGCGATATAAAGAGACCAGTGTACAAACATTTCGTGACAATCAAATCAATAGCAATACTACAGTGGTTACAAGAGCATCAGCTCTTTTTAAACTTTTAGTCACAGAACATCCTTATAGGCGAAACAAAAGTATTGATTAGTTAAGAACAGTAGGTGAAATATCAAATCAAATAAAGTTTTTCGGTCATATATCAAGCATAAAGTTGAGTAGAAACGGTTAACTGAAGAAACAAAATTGATATTAGTAACTATGATCGGCATCACCAGTGCTAACAATAATCAAAACCAGGACGGAACAAATTATTCAACAATAATATTTAAAAAACACTTTTCTTTAACAAGAAAAAAATTGTTACAATGAAATCATGCGGTTAGGCATATAGATACTGTGTCATGTTTATTTCGTATTTGGTAAAACGATCGAAGTAGAATGAAAAAATGAAAAGAAATTTAATAGTTTTACCCCGTTTTTTAACTTTTAAGCAAGTTAGGATCAAGATTCTTCAAAACAACAAAAAATAGTCGTTGATAACACTTTGTAAATAGCGCAATCTTTCTTAATGAAGTAAAATGCGTTGGATGTTGAAGATGAATAAAAGGTGAATTGGAATAATAATAGATTAATCCCAGATGATTGTGTGTATGATCAGCAAATATATGAGAATGTTGAGATGGGAGAGAAGATTTGTAGCTCAGGTGGATGATTTCGGTAGAGTTTCGTCCCCTGAGCTGGATGGTTTGGTAGTGGACAAATATAAGACCAACAATCAAACAATCGGAGATACAATCAAAATAAAATAAACAATGACAAGTTGAAAGTAAACAATAACCAATCACGATCGAGGTCGACAAGGCAAGCTGTGAATTATATGTAGAGAAGTTCGAGCACCTCTACTTGACGTTTGTGCTGGTGATATCGTTCAGAAGAACGATCAAAGCTCCACGATTAAGCCTTCCGCCTCAGAGAACAAAACTACACCAAAAATATAAGAATATTACTACAAATAGGATTAAATGACGCAACTGCTCTTAAGTCATTGTTAAATAGTGATTATCCGTCTATATAAGCTTTTGTAAATTACAAGACAAGAATATTTTTATATTAAGAATTTTAAACAATTTTTTCAGTATTTCTTTCGGGCAAAGTAGTATATCTAGGGTATAAAGTTTTATAACAGGCTGACTTGGTCGATATTCACTATCACTGTAAAATTATACCATGCACTATGAATCATATTCTAAGTGTCAAAACAAAACAAAAAACAATAGGAAATAGTTTGTCAACTGAACACTTGTCGACATGATTTTTGCAAATGTTTAAAATGTTTGCAATGTGTAGTACTTGCTTCTATCATCTTCAATCAATAAGGTAGGTGTGTGTGTGTGTGTGTGTGTGACAAAAATGGGAATCTAACTTGTTTGTTTCTTTACTGAATATAAGTTTCCGCATTAAGATTTTTCAAAATTAGATTTTTTTTCAATTTTACTGAAAACCTGTAACCCTTTGACAAAATTGAAGTGAACCACTCCAGTCCCAGTGTGAACATGAACACTGGGACGCAGGTACATTCACATGATAAGTATCAAATGGAATAAAACGAATGTCCTGGATTCTATTCCTAGCTCATATTTGACTTTATTAAAATATATTTCCCGTTCAATTTATTAAAAAAAACGCGATTGATTAATGACTCTACCAGATGTTAACTAAAAAAAGTGTTTTTAAATTGGTATTCACGATGTTGATGAATGTCCTAAATAGTCGATTACATTTTTTTGAGGATCATGTTTAAATGGAATATAAATTGTAAACAAGAGCATTTCTCAAATTTTTATTTTTACCTCTTTAGACATATTTCTTTCCATATGAAGATATGTAAATAATAGGTCAATTTGTAAACGTGGTTCGCAGAATGTATTATACGCTTCTCTATCATACAACATATTTCTAAAAGTAAAGAGTATAAAGGAAAAAAAGTATTCAATGAGTGTATTTCTGCATGAACAACACTGACAGTAGAAGCAAGTATAATTTTAAAAAGATTCATTTAAACTAAGAAAATTTTACAAAATACCATGCCTCTTCATAAATAAATAAGATAAATAAACATGTGAATTTTTGGATATAGTTAGATGACTCTATATTAAGTTAAAGTTGTTGTGATACTTTCATTGTTCTTGTAAACAACATATTCGGTACGTGACTCAATGAAAAACACAAATTCCATTTTGCAGAACATTACTGCTATACCCTAACTATAGAGGAGAGCTTTTATTTTTCTAGCATGAAAAGAAAAATTCAACAATCCCTCAAATGACTTCATCAATATTTTCTGTGATCTACAAGGAGGACAGATGAGACATCAGTAAAACAGACTTGTTGAGTCAGGTAGTAAGAAATATATCTTAGTAAAGACATAAAACAAAAGTTTAACTGAAACATGCTAGACTCATTTTAAGACCTAGCTAATGAAAATGTGTGGCAACAATAATATTTTTTCAATATACTTTAACAATTCAGTCAGTCAGTGACAACGTAGAACTTCGTATGTACGTACATCAGTTCGAGTTACCACACCATATTAGCACAGAGATGCAGTGGTCGATTCAAATCCCGTAGTGGTAGAGGCAATAAGAGTACAAGCAGTAATCGGAAAGATTAGGGTTTGAATATGTTATTTAAAGAGTATAATACAGTGAATAAATTTGGGAAGAGAAAAAAGAGACAAGGAGGAATCAGGAGATTAAAATTTGGGAGAACACAAATAGTGTATGCACATGCGCCATAGCAAACAATTTTGAGCCATGTCATTCTGGGTCTATAACCATCGGTTGCTATCATCTCGCAGATCCCAACCAGGTAGTCTAAACCAACCAACATGTCTCAGTTCACTTGTCAGTGACTTCATGGACTTGTGCCATGTTTTGGTCTGGCCGCCCCTAGCTTTCTTCCAACCTACTCCCATACCACTCAACATCGCACGTCCAGGCAGTCCGTCGTTAGGCATACGTAACACGTGTCTCAGCCATCTCAACTGATTAAGTTTCACTACGTCATCAATTGATTTGCCATCCATACCTAGTACCCGTTACCTAACAACTGCGTTACTTACTCGATGGTCCCAGGATATACGAGCAATGTTTCGAAGACACCTTTGATCAAATACCAGTAACCTACGAATATCTTCTACTCTTACCGGCCATGTTCCACTGCCATAAAGTAGGATGGAACGAACTGCTGCACAGTAAACACGTCATTTGGTTGATAGACGGATATCTCGCCTACGCCATAAATGACGCAAGTTGGCAAACGTTGTTCGAGCCCTCTGTATCCGTGCTGAGATTTCGTCACACATCAGACCACAAGGGCTGATGAGACTTCCAAGATAAGTGATGTGATCGACATGCTCAATTACTTCACTCCCTATCATTAGTTCGGGTGTCTATGGAACCCAATGCTTAAGCAACATTTTGCATTTCGAGGGGGAGAATCGCATGCCGAACATGCTTGTATTGTTGCTTAGAGTGGTCAGAAGACTCTGCATTTTTTCAGCGTCTTGACCAAATAGAACTATGTCATCGGCATATTCCAAGTCAACAAATGAATCTCCTGATAGAAGTTCAACTATTAACTTATATTAAAAAGGTAGTTTTAAGAATCAATATTAGACTTATCATTTTATTCGAAAACTCCAAAAAAAAGCCTATCATTATTTTAAATAAGACGCAATATATGTGATATATTGTGTGACTTGGAGTTTTAATTGTACTCTCATTTCTGTCATTAATTACTTCATAATATAATCATACACGATAAATTCTATTCTTCATGTTGAGCTGAACCACATTTTATGTGTGTCAAAGAAATCAATGAAATAGATATTAACTATAATGGCCTAGTTGTATTATGAAAGACCTCTAATGACAGTTGTCTAATTAACAACCAACGTGAATTGAATTTATATATATTAACAAAAACAATGAATTAACATACCGTTGACTTGATTCATATTCATTAATCATTAAACAATTCATTGATTTCATAATAGTTAACCAATTATTGCATAACCAATGTGTAGATTCATTGAATGTCAGATTATCACTTGAATATATTTTATTATGAGTATTATTACTATTAATATTCTTGTCTTTATTATTATTATTTTCATTTAATAATAACAATGGAACAATTCGTTTCAATAGTTTATGTAAAGTGATTAAATGAGTATTTGCATGAATACAATGTAAAGAATTTGTTTGATTTATGGATGATTTTAACCAAAAATTGATAACAGTACTCAGAATTGAACGAACTTCAGGTGATTCATCAAATAAACCATGAAATATACAATCCAACAATCTATTTGAAGAAGAAAAAAACATACAGTGTAATTTGGAAGGATATGCACATTACAATTAATTAAATAAGATGCAATATTGAGAGATATTAAACCATTGTAAGATTTGCAAAGATATACACAACCGAAAACCTAATCAATCATATGATTATCAAAATGTTTTCAGTATACTTAGATTGATTCATCACTGAGTACTGGACAATTTGACGTTTGCCTAGTTAATTGTACTAATCGAATTACACAAAACAAACTATTAAGTGACACAGACTCAAATACCACAAAGAACGTTGATTCCTTTAAAATTGTATGTAAACTTTGTTGACGAGTAACAAATAGCACGAAATCTAGGTCGTGTTTCTTACCAACTAGCTTCAAATATCTAGGATCGAAATATAGGGTACACAATGTCGATTCACTCAGGTTAGGGCCCACATTATAGCTTGACCGACAGAATTCGATAGGCATTACCGAACTAAACAAACAAGGAATTGGTCAGTGATAAATCAAATCAATCCTATGGAAGATCACTCGTTATCAGTGGTAACAGCTCTGATTGCGAAGCTGAGTGACGCACGATCAAATCAAACAAAGAGTATTGGTTAGTTCAGAACTATAGGTACGTCTTGCAAATGAGTGTGAACCACCATGAATCCTGGGTCCAAAGTGTCCTGTCGGCTAAGTCATGCCACCTAATATTTATGTCATATAACGGATTTTTGAATTGTTTTAATTTGAATAGTTGATTCAAAGTCCTAACTGGTGTTATGAAACAATGAAGACTTAAACTCATGAATCATATTATTTATTAATTAAACTATGATAAACTATTCTCCACAATCTCACTATTCTACACTATACTCCTCTATTTTTGTTGGTCCCTATCAGTTACAGTTACTTAGTCAGATACATATATTGATATCCCCCTCTTTCGCACAATATAAGAAAACGCAAAAACATTTTTTTATTCATCTAATCTTAATTTAATTCATTTTTGTATTGGTTGTTTGAACAGACTGATTAATTGCAGTTCTAAACATCAATGAGAAAATCCAAACAACCAATACAAAATTAAATTAAACTTCACCCCACTGCATAATCTAGCAGCTATCTGGACTCAGTAGCTTGTTAGTGGATAACGCGATGGTATTCGAGTTTCTGAATAAACATCAATTCTGGGAAGTAGCAGGTGCATCCATCTGATGAGTTCCAAATACGACAAAACGGGCGTCACCGACTCCACTGCCAGCCACAATCCATTTCTAACCCTAATTTAGTTTCAATAAAATTCTATTTAATTGGCTTGAAAAGAAACGAAATCATCATCTGCCTATGCTTTCGTCTTAAAAAAGAAATAGACTATAAAATATTTCTTTCTTCTGATCGAAAAATTATACCATAAATTAATATACAACGAATACATACACAACAATTATACCTTTTACGTTGTGATATATTTAAAACTGATTTCATTAAATCAATCTGATTCGATATTGACGGTGATTTTGTAGCATTGTCAGGATGAAATTCCAACGTCCATAATTGTAAAGATTTTGAAGCTAAAATTCGCGATTCAGTTGAATGCTGATATTGTAAGCAATCACTTAGTAAAGTAAGCCATTGATCCATATAACTGTCATTAATGAATATGGAAAAAAACGACAATTTATCTTAAAATACAAAGAAGGACTATTCATTTTTGGTTCATCATAAAAATTAATATCAATACATGGAAACTTTTCAGTAGAACAATGTAGTTCAATAATAGTAATTATTTATCTAAAAGCTACTTCTATTCGAAAGCTACGATCTATAAAATCAACAAGTCGATGGTGAATAGATAGATCACGACTAATATTGAGTGAGTGTAGATCATGTCACATGGAAAATTGATTGAACAGTGGAACGTGGGCTGCTAGATTTCGGCTTCACAAACCAGTTACCATGCATATCGAGAGATCAGTCGAGTATGAATTGGATCCAGTATAACGACACGTTTTGAAGAGTATCAAATTGAGAAGAAACAACCATAGTTTGTTTGCGGATTTCTAGTAGTTTTTTTTATTTACGCTCACGTCTACTCACCATCTTTAATTTTTAATTTTTTTCAGGAAAGCTATCAATGAAAATCTCTGCTTAGTTGCTCCAGTCGGTTAATTAGATTCTAAAGCATGAATTCCTAGGTGATATGAAGGTATCAGCAGCAAGATCTAAATGACTTCGAGTTACTGGTGTACACATATGAAAAGTTAAAAACTTAGTTGAGCCGTTGTCTTATACTTTCTGCTTACTGATAATCCTGCAACTGATGTCAGTTCATGAAATAAACTATGCATACAACAATGTTAAAAAACGGATGATTATGATTCACTAAAATATCTTAAGTGCAATCAGTTGGACTGTTTTAAGATATGATAGAAAAGGAACGACAATACTCAAATTGATATTATAAGGAATCAATTCAAGTTGTTGAAATTCACATAACAATAGTAGATGAAAATCTACAACAGAGAGATGGAAAAATGAAACCATTGATGACAAAAGTAAGAGAGAAATATTTGAGTAAAAAGAAGAAAAATAAAAGGTCTACATTATATCACTTCAATTATTTGATCGCTAAACTTTGGTCAGAATACTTGCAGCTTTATATACTGTTTGGATCAATAGTCGAAACCTACCTAAAATGATCGCACTATATCTTTTTTTTGATTCATCTTCACTTCAGAAGACATCCCCGTTAGTAAAATACAGTAGTTATTAAATATGGCTGAAAAGTGAAACCAACTGTATGGTTACTTTCTAAACTAATAAATATTTATCAGTTTAGGGGTTGTGAAGATTGTTGAGTTTTTGATTGAAATCATGAGTCAATTGAAGCTAGACCACCATGGAAAACCTGGAAGCACTGGACAGGTGTTTACCTCAGTACAATGGAAGATGGTCGCGCAATTTCGTGGATTGGTTGAGGTTAGATATTAACACCTTTGGATGCCGGCTCAGTGGTCTAGTTGGTTAAGCGTCTGGCGAGAGACTGATAGGTCCTGGGTTGGAATCTCGGGGGGGATCGTGGATGCGCACTGCTGAGGAGTCCCATACTAGGACGAAACGGCCGTAGAGTGCTTCCAGGTTTCCCATGGTGGTCTAGCTTCAATTGACTCATGATTCCAATCAAAAAATAACAAATATCTATTTTATATAAATCCTTTCTTTTCAATTCTTTATTATTATCCTATGATTGTTTATCGTAGATTTAATTTTTTATGCCTTCATACATTAATGGTCTGACAGTCACTTTTAATTGAGATAAACTTCAAATATATACACAGATATTACAGTAACAAACGAGATTTTCAACTTCTAACATCACACCAGTTGCATTTCAATAGATACGGGGCCATGTAAAGAAACACATAATAAAAACTCAAGCACTTTACAAATCCCTAAAGGGATGTCTTCACAAATATTTGGGTTTCAAAAGGGAAAAGGGAATAAATCCATTTATTTAAAATAAAACTTGAATACATAATAATTAACCTAGAGTGTTATAATAATTTCAACGATTTTCTTTAGTTATTTTTTTGGTGTGGATTATTTGTCTTCTAGTAAATAGTTCTTATCAAACAAAGGTATCATATTCAACGAATGACAGATAGAATGAAAATATAAACGGAAAAAAATGGTTGTATTGCATGAGTAGAATCCGAAATATATCATTCTTAAAATAGCAAATGCAAATATCATGATATATGTGTTTATACATAATAGGTTTTAGTAAATTGAATAGAAGAAGAACTAAATCAAACGAAGTAATTCTATAATGAATGTCATCTCAAACGGATGAGTACGATTACTTAATATTAGTAAACAGAGATTTCCATTTGCAATTTTGGAACAAAAATACATATTCGAAGACACTCTTTCCTGTATTGATATCAGCTGGAAAACCACAAAAAATATACAGTGGTAGACTCATGTCCTAGCTGTTCGCACGACTTGCAACTCACAGAGCAGGTTTTAACACAAACTTTTGAATCTCTTCTTGGGGTCCATTGAACTTTAAATTACAAATGCAGATAAACTGGAACATTTCGCTACAATTTAGCTATGTAACTAAATCCTAACCGTTGTTTATATGCTACGTGGATGACTACCTCTCCTCTGATACTGAATTAAAAATTCTAATATCAGTGACTATATATCACTTTACTAGTGAAATTATACGTGGATTAAATATTTGATAATTGTCATTACTAAGTACAATTACTCAACTTTCCTTCTAGCTGATATTTTACCCGTACTAGTTCATTGTATATAATTTAGATAAAATCAACTCAAATCAGTACGTTACAAAACAATTAAGAATATATTTAAGGACAGATCTATCATATTAATTTTTGCTGTTGTTATTCTGTGATTTCTGTTGTCTTTCCTTCTCTTTGGTTGTAGATCTTACCCCGTAACATCGCTAGAATCAATATCGGATACACTATACAATATGGTATTCCAGTCACCCTTACCATTACGGAAATAATTCCAAACTGGTGCTTTACACAATTTCTGATAATTGTGTTTTACTATAATGGGAATTTTTCAGTGATTAATTTCTGATATATATCTTTTCAAACAATTTACCTTCAAATATATGTCCTTGATATGTAACATTTCTATGTATATCAACCTGATGATGACTGTAAAAGGGGACGCTGTCTATAATTATCTCTGGAACAAATTACTTAAATAAGTAAGCAATCAATACGAACATTCTTTCATAAATAAAATATTTGATAACCATGAAATCTTTCAAATAGATTTATACTGACACATTTCTAAATAATAAGCATGAAGTTGTGGAGATTATTAAATTTTATTGAAATCATAAACCGATCTCAGTTAAACCATCACTGAGAAATTCGAAGCATTCGATGGTCGTTTCATTATCAAATAGGACTCCACAGAAGTGCATATCTACGATCCCGAAACACACAATATAATCAAACACATTCAGTCTTTCATGCGAACACTTAACATCTAGATCATTGAACCGGCATCCAACACAACAGTGTTGAAATCTAATTTCAAGAGTCCTATACTAGAACGAGACGATAATCCAGTGCTACCAGATTTTCAATGGTGGTCTAACTTACATCCGTTCATAATTTCAATGAGAATTTCAAATACGTCATATAATAAAAAATTATACAAACTCTTAAACTTACAATGAATAATTCACTGATGCTGATGGTGATAGACAATTGAGTAAACATGTCATAAAATATAATAATCTTGAACGATGAATACAAAATTGAATGCCAGAAATATTCTCATTTGTTAGGCATAGATTCGATACTCGTGATAATAAAATTTCGACATTGAATTCTTTTTGAATTTTTTGCATAAAACAAGTAGTATTAGATGACCGATTGAAAAATTCTAGAAAACACCACATAACATGTGGATAGATATATTCCAAGTGATTATTCACACACTGATGGCCAGGATGATGATCAACAGTACATGTTAACGATCGCCAATTTATCCAATAGTCAATTAATTTCAAAGTAAGCTCATCAGATAAATTGGAATTTGTTTTCAATAGATTAAGGAAACGTAAAAGTAGAATTGGTTCAGTTTCGGCATAATGAATGGTCATATAGTTGAATAAATTTTTATTGAATAATTTTATACAAATATGATGAAATTCAATTAAAAATTCAATATGAAATGGCTGAAATAAATCAACATGAAACAATCAAAGAAATGATGAAGATAATAATATTACATCTTGAAAGATAACCGTTGAAAAATAATCCTCTATTGAAAGGAAAGCAAGAATTAACTTGCTTTTTTAGTTCTACTTATGTAAAACAACCTTCTCCACCTCATTGTCCATATTGTTTTGTTAATGAGGTATGGCAACTTGGTCCTACGTTGTAGCTGACTGACTGACTGACGAACTCGCATTGGTATTAGCTACATCATTACATTCAATTAAGTTTCAAAACATCTAAAACTACGTGTAAATTGTCAATATACATTGATAAATCCTAGGCTAATACAAATATCCTTGATGTTAATAGTACAATATTACAAAACAGTTGAATTTTATTTATTTATCTTAAGTGGTAATCAAGTATTGAATAGAATAATAAATATTAGAATGAACTATACAGTAGATAACAAATAAATAAATAAATAAATAACATTGATTCAATTACTTATTTACAATTGTACCATATCAACTTATTTCCTTAAAACATTTCCATCAAATGTTATGTATCTCGTCTAACTTACTGTTTGATGTTTGATTACAATTGTAGAGACAGATAAATACAACTAAACAATGAGAAAATGCATTAGTAACAAAAATTCTGTCATGAAGATGATAAAACTATAAAAAACTGGTTCATTCAAAGTCTTTTAGAGAATATAGTTGAAAGAAAAAAATACTGATTGATATGATTTGAAATAACTATTCACTACTTTAACCAGCTCTGTCTTTCTTTATTCATTAAAAGATATGAAGATACAAATAAATGATGTTGGAATGTGTATTCTAGTCATTTAGTTCAGTATAGTACGTTATAAGTAAATTACAAGTTGTATATTAAACATTTTTATATTAATAATAACAAAAATAAATGAAAAAGATATACCTCATTAGACAAAGAAAATATTGGTTTCCTTAAAGTGAGTAATGCTGTCCACAGTTCCGTTCGATAATCCTCTTCGCAGTGAATCGTTGCATGACTTGTATAAACAGAATTCATCAGAATACATAATTCATAAGCAAGATACCAAGCAGAAATAGATATCCAGTGAAGAAGATAATTCAATGCCGATTTTATGTTGAATAATCTATTGAGATTATTAAATATAAGATTAAAAGAGAGAATAAAAAAGTCAAAGACTATTTAAAGCAATGTTAAAATAGAGTGAGTGAGAGAATTACCAGTCAGATATACAAAGAGAAATAATAAACTACTTTGTAAATAGTTAAGCGTAATTTTCCCGTGTGAAACATATGTTACGTTAGTAAATCAGTAGAATATTGCCTTTTCAAAAGCTTGTTACACCACCATCAATTTTCTATTTTATAAACTATAGCCAAAAAGTTCATAAATTCTTTCCCTAAAATTCAGTAGTCCTATGAATCGATAACACGTTATGGTTTGATCATGAATATCAATTGAATACCAACAACACTATCCGACTATTGAATAGAAACACTTAAAAATAGATTGAGAGAAGTAACTTTGAATGTTAACTGTCTTTCATAAAATCTAACTTTACATTATCCTGTTCGTCTTATAGTTGAGGTACAGAAGAAAAATGTATTGTTCCAAACTATTTATATATACCAAACGACTGAATAGTCTTAACTTTCTATTACTAGACTAAATAACTATGATATATAATGTATGACAGTATTAATCAACATTGAACAATTGGATAATAATGCAAAAGCAAAAATTAAAATGAAAGCTAACAAAACATTATCACCATTAACTTACGATTCTCTCCAATGTTGAATAATTTCACAAGTTTTACTTTCATACCATGATTGTAATAAGCATAAATGACCATGTACTGCATTTGTTATAGAATTATATAAAATTTTCTTATTAGAGTTATGTAGTGAACATGAATGATAAATTAAGTTTAATGGTCCAATGCTTGATATGTTACAAAGTGAAGATTGTTTATCTTGTGAACATATAATTGATTCAAATTGATAGTAAAGATCAATCGGTGGGCATAGAAATACATGATAAGCTTTTGAAGCAAGTTTACGAATATGCATACTACAATGATTGAAAAGAATATATTCTAGTCGATTGAGGATTTCATCAATTTTTGATGACCTATTTAAAAAGAAATTATTTTGGAGTGAAGAAAAAAATAAAAATCACAGTAATGATTCTATGATAGCGAATACATGTAAGAATTTACCGGGAACAAAAAATGTACAAAGAAAATAGAATAGAAATGATAGTTTGTTTGAAATATAAACAATAAAAACGAGTATCTACACACTAGAGATCATTTGAATAAAATTAAAAAGTGAAATAAATTGTATGTCCATCGCTCGTAAGCAACAATAATTTACGTAATTATGGTTAAGTACAGAGGTTGAGATTACCCGTTAAGGAGATATTCAAAACAAATGTAATCGGACATATTCCAAGATGTTAATGAGAAAAATTCGATGTTTCGTGAAGGGATTTAAGTTAAACCATAACTGAGAAATTCGAAGCATTCAACGGTCGTTTCATTATCAAATAGGACTCCATAGAAAAGCATGTCTGCGATCCCGAAACACACAATAGAATCAGACACCTTCAGTCTCTCACGCGAACACTTAACATTTAGATCACTGAACCGGCATCCAACACAACAGTATTAAAATCTAACCTCAACAGTCCCATACTAAGACAAGAGGGCAGTTCAGTGCTTCCAGGTTTCATAACTTACATCCGTTCATGATCTCATTAAAATTCAACAATCTCCACAACCCAATACTGAAAAATTCGATGTATTTAATAAGTTTATTTATTTAGGATAAAAATCAGTAGTAATTAATCTTGATATCTTAAATTTGATATGAATAAAGACGTTGATTATAACAGCTTCAATTATATAAATATACATAAACGTTTTCCGTTTAAAATGATTTTGATTGTTGACATGTATTCTGATACTGAAGCCACACATGTCACATAAACTCTTATTTGATAGTAGACAGTAAGCAAAAACCAACAGATAATCATTCTGATTTTTGTACACGTCGTCTGGAATTGTATACAGCTGCTGTTTATTGATAAGGTCAATCTCGAATGACTGAATGACCAAACATCAGAACACAGTGATCGATATGAGAAATAGAAATGGATGATCATTAGTTGCTTCGTGGTCACAATTATTATATTGAATTAAATATTTATTCACTTAGAAAATAGTTTAGTCACATTATCATGACTGAAAATCTTGCATATTAACAAAGTAGTAATATAGTTAAACGGCCAGTATATTTTCATGCTCTGAAATTAAAGGATCAGTTGCATGAACAAATTATATCCATTCAACCAAAGCCGTTAAGCCAATAACAGAAATCCATTTCACAAACAATATCGTACTTATTACCTCTACAACTGTGTCTGTTGTGAGGTAGTTACTCACTGAAGACATTGGTGGACAGTCGTGCAATATTGTAGATCGTTGAAGCAAGACATTAACACCGTTGGATGACGGCCGAACCAGTGGCTTATAGGTTAAGCGCTCATGCGCTAAACCGAAGGTCCTGTGTTCGAGTTCCGCGTGCGGGATCGTAGACGCGCACTACTGAAGATTCCCGTACTAGAACGAAACGGCGGTCTAATGCTTTCAGGTTTTCAATGATGATCTAGCTTTAATCGACTCATGAATTCAACTATTTTTAAAAACCATAGAAACATTTCTTGGTTTCAAAATTTATGCCTTGAACTTTGAGTTAATTCGGTTTCAGGTTGGAATACACAGTTTCATCTAATTTACTTAAAACAATCTAGGAGAATTTCTGATTTTTATAAATCAAAAAAATAACCGTGTTGAGTACATATACATACAAACTTGTACTTCAATACTTAGCTGTAAAAAAAAACAGATAAATTTACAATTAATTAATTAAAACAAATACTTACACTATCAACGAATGATCAAACGATGGAGAAAATCTAACAATTAAAGTAAGTATTGGAATTAAACTTTGCGTTGACGATAAATTTTGATAATTACTATTCAGACAGTTAAATATAATATCCAACATTTGAGGATATTGAAAGCAGATATCCGAAATTAATGGAAATTCTAAGTCGAGACTTACACCAGTGAGACGATAGATCAATGCACCTGTTGGATTTGAAATGACATAAATAAATAAATGACAGTGATTACATATATTATAATTAAAGTTATTTACTAAAGGTTTTCGTAAGAAAATAACAAGAATTAACATGGACAAGGAAGAAATAGAAACTCCAGTTAGTTAGTTTGTTTGTCATACATAGCATAGAACTAGACACATATGTGGATGGGTTCAAGTTACTATATCCTATTTTCATTTTGAGACAAATCGCAGGGTCGCAGAAGTAATAATAATATCCGTTATATTGGTAACAGAAAATATTAGGTATAGAAGAAAAAGGTATGAGATTTAGAGACTCAGATTCGAAATGAAAACAAAGAATGAATCCATCTGCATCGTTGGGAGTGATTATGAGCCATGTCACCCACAATTTATAACTGGTTATGATAATCGCGCAGACCCCAACCAAGTAGTTAACATCTACAGTAGTCGGTGTCTTCACGGACTGGTGCTATATCCTGGTTTGGATGATCTTATATTTCTACCAACCTACTACATCAAGCATCATTGCACGTCGACGTGGTCGGTGGGTGAGAAACGTAATACATACAGCAACCATCTTAATCGATAAAAACTCACTACCTCGTCAATTGATTTACAATCATTACCTAGTATATTGTGTCTCATCGCGAAATCGCTAACTCGATGGTTCCAGAATAAACGAGGGATATCTATTATTCACCTGCATAATATATGTAAACCTCTTTTCAGTATGTTTACGAAAAAAATTCGTGAAAAAATGTAGCGATATCAACATAATCAATTATCAAATAATTCTTAATTACTGTAATTAATTTGTTATATACATGTTTATTTAGTCTCCTTAGAGTTATATTTTGTTTATAAGAGAACTGATGATACAATCCGGTCAACCGGACCAAAACAAAGAGGAAAAGAGTTAAAACCGTCAATCAAAGGAATTATAAAATCAGTGAAAAGACAAAAGAGTATGGTACTTCTTTTTATTTTATTCATCATAATTACGATTACCATCGGTTAAATACTATCGAAAATTTAGTTATATTTGCAGTCTTTTCGTCTGTTTGTCTATCTTTCTATCTATCTGTTCAACTGCTTTTCCCTCGAAACACATTAATTTATTCTAAGAACATTCATACGTTTAGTATAACATAGGTGTCATTCAAAAACTCAAAGCACCTTTTCTACAACTTCTATATCTGTTTTTCCAATCAGAAAATTTCAAGAAGGAATCAACACAGCATGCTATAATTTCGTCTAAAGTATGTTTATAATTAAAATGTCTTGTTTATGAATATTCTAGCTAATTGTGGGATATTAAACAGTTGTTATGCAACAAGATTAGACTACCTTGATTATTCCTATTCAAATTTTAGTACAAACATCAAGAGATTTCCATAATGATTAACCCGATTCCAAACCCCTTGGATAGTCTAATAAACAATGTTTCATTCCTTTTGTTTTCAACCTATCTAGTACTCCAATTAATATGTTTAAATAATTACAAATAACTATTTTCAATTGGTATACACAATTCAATACAATACAATAAGGGTTTTACAACACAATTGAAAGAAAATCAACTAATCTAATGATTTCTTTAGGGAAAAAAAACCAACTATAAGCTTCAATCTGATACTTTTTTTAAAAAATAACCTTCAAAAGTCGAATATAAATGAAAAATAACACCTACTATGAAGTTGAAGAGCACCATTCCAAACATTCCATTTTTTCGAATTAAAACCAGGAATAACAGCTAATTGAAGAGCTTCAATTGTCCAATTTTTAACATGTGATAGACTATTATTATTTTCTATCGGAACAGAATGTTCATGTACACGTAATCGAGCATCGGTAAATAGTCCGTGTAGTAAATGTAAAGCGAATACTCGTGGTGAATCATGAAGTGTTGTTGAATCGGATATAATATGAGTAGTATTATTATTCACATTATTATAAACATCATTATCATCTGATTGTGTAATTTCAAATAAACTTCTTAAACAACAAACAAGTGAACATGGCTACAAGGAAGATAAATACAAACAATTAGAAAACAAATGAATAACATTACTGTGACTGATGTTTCTTCTTTTTTTTCTTGAAACTTAAGTAAGTAATAAAAAGGTTAATCTAGATTAAATAGTGGAATATAGTGTTTTTAAACAAACAATCTGTATATGACATTCCGTTTTTAGGGTGTGAAGTTTATCTATATCGATGGTTGTCAGGACGGATTGCGATATCATCAGCTAAATCAAGAATTAATGAATATCTGAGATTTTGAGAAAGCGAATTCCCATCATAACTATGAGGCAACGCAAGGAATTCTTATGAAAAATAATAACAAACGGAATTCAACAATGCCGGGTTACCCATAAATTATTTGAAGTTAGAAATTTAAACCATTGGATGCCGAGTCAGTTGTCTAAAGATTGAGAGCTCAACGTGAAACTTAAAGGCATTTGATTTGATCCCCGATTGGATCGTAAATGCGTGCTACTGAGGGGTCGCATACTTGAACGAAACATTTATTTAGCGCTTCCTGTTTTTCAAAGGTTTCTCATTAAAGGACGGTTTATGACATGAACTACGAAATACATCAGTCTCCAAAAAACCCTTACACAATCTGTTTAGAGTTAGAACACTAAAGATATATTATACCAATTGTTATGTATATTCATCAAATTTGATAATGTCTATCAGTCAAATTCAAAATGTAGACATCGTCCTCAAGTCCCTAAATGCCCTGGTACGGCCGAGGGTAGGGAGAGTCAGCTCGCCCTCTCGAAATGCTCACACATGGCCACGCGTATATAGCCTCTGCCAGAAAAGTCCTACTCACTGCCTTCTCATGACATTACTGTTGTTTACGAAATTGAGAGGACGAAAAGCGAATGTCCGGCGCCTTAACCAGGTTGGTGGATATGGAGAGTCCACCTAGATTAGTTGGAAAATCCTAATTCCAAACCAATGGTGTACATGGGCTCCAGTATCCTGAAGGAACAAATAGTGTATGGACCAATTGTTGGTCACTGGCTACCATGGGACTGCATCTCCTGACATTGCTCCACTGTCATGTGAGTCAGACCCAAAGGTTGAAGGCTCTGGGCGTGGCCCCTTAATGAGATCACCTGTTTCGGTTTTGGCACCCTAGCAGTATCACAGCACACACAAAAACCACATGAGATTTGTGTGGCACATATGTATTTGGTGCTCCCTTGTACCTATATTTGTGTGTTCAAATAGGTAAATAAATAAATAAGTAAATGTTTGAATCATAGTATTCTTACTGCCAAAGCATAAATTCTTTTAATTGAATCAAAAATTAATGTTTTAAAAAAGAAATATGAAACACGGTTTTTGGATTACACTACTAACAAAATGTTGTGGCACAACAACATACAGGCGTAAACGTGGTTAACTGTCTTTCATCTAACACCAAATCTCAACACAGAATACTTATAACGTATAATAAAAGCACTAAATATTACTTACAGGACTTTCAAGTCCGTTACAAGATTTAGCCAGAAGACAAGCACGTATAACTGGTATAAGCCCAGCACCACGTCTAGTAACAGAGTAAGCACTGTTACAAAGAACTTTCCAACATATTTGCAACATATGATCAGCAGAAATAGATCCATCACATGTCGATAAATATTTGATATCAGTAGTCGGATTTTTGCAATCCATTTTGAAAACTGATGACTTTAAAGCATCCTCTTTACATGTTTTCAATGAAGAACAAAATGAAAGTTGATATTTTTCAACAGTTTGTAAATAAAGGAGAAGATTGAAATATAGTGCTTCTATGGTTCCCTGGAAAATAAAGGAATGGAAAATTTCATTGGATACAAATATACATGTAAGTTTCAGAGTAAACATAACTAAGACATTTGTAGGTTACGTAATAATGTTTGTAGTTCTTGATTTAGAATAATTAAATGGGTAGATCGAAAGGTACCTCACTTAATTCAATCTGTTAAACTCGCAATAAAATCCAGACTATCATGTATAGGTGGTTTACAAACTTAAACTCATTGATCATCTTTATTTAATCCTTGATGCTGATCAGATTCTAGTAATTCAGCTGTCCAATAGCTCTGATCTACGTGGCTTTACATCTCATGTACTATATCAACATTTTAGGTGGGCGGAGATAGTCGTTAAGATACCCTTCTTAACCCAAGTCTCGTGACACTTGACATTTGTTAGCAAGGTACACCTATAATCTTGAGAGAACTGATGTTTTCTAGTGGATTTTAACCTGGATCAATCAGATACTCAATCATAGATAATACGAGCCTATTCGAGCTTGCAAACTTAAGCAAGAAATTTTTAGTACTTATATGAAGGTAACTTCAAATAACATCAAAAATCTCCAAGACTATCTTTACTGAAACTTGTATAAATAACTGCTCACTTTTTAATACAAACGGTAAATTGTATTACTGATACATCTAATTCAGCATCTTCCGAGGGAACAAGGGTTTAGATCAGTAGACAAAAGTATTTACTGATTGGACGAAAGTTTATTAAATGCAATTGTTTTCTAACATATAAACTGGCTGAAAATATGGATGGTTTAATACAATCATTTTGAATTTTTAAGCCGCATTCGTATAGTTGATTTCGATGGGTTCGAATATCAGAGACTAAGAATATCATTTGAATCAAGATTGCAAATACACACATTTATGTCAAAGATTACTTAACAATTGCTTTCAAACGGTCTCTAAACTAGGGAACGTGAAGCAGATCATTTCGTGTGACCTACTTAAAATAGATAAAGAGAGACTATTTTTTGAATAAAAACAAACCGTCAACAATAATCATTATGGTTTCGCCTGTACAGAAAATACTTGTCCAGTGTCGAAATCTTATTCTGGGGTTTTACAATTATGTTATTTGTGTAAAAATTTGTAAAGACATGGATGTAGAGCTAGTAAATTTATTCAGATTTCAATTTATGCATACTAACTGCTTCAGTATAAACAGTATATTCATATTTAATGGATAGAATATGGCTAACAGTGGAATTTAAGAAGCGTGTTCAGTCTTACTTGGAATTTATCAGCTGAATGTAACTATATCCTAGTATTCACGCGAGAATTTAAAACAAATACCTTACACTTCAAACACTGAACGCATTAACCACTGAGCTACTGAGTCCTAGTAGTCACAAACATGTGCAATAGGTACAAATTGAACTTGATTTGTGAAGTTTCACATCAACAACGATATCATTAAAATCCTTACAAATAAAAGTAATTTCGCATTTAACTTTTCCTGTGCAATCACGAGAATTAAAACAAAAAGAAACACGAAATTCATGCATATCTGTACTGCAACAAGTTTTTTTTTAATGTTATGAGAAATATAAACAACCTACCTTATGACGACATTGTAACAATTGATGCAATAATTGATAGCCAATTTTGGAGGCAAGCAATTTTCGTTCTACATCCGCCATTACATTCTCATCAGCTAATTTACACTGAATAGCAAACCAATTGGCAATAATGCTGGAACAGAACTAATGTTTAATTTTTTCGATATTTAAGAAAGTTAAAAAAAATAGGAAAGATTCCATTATGTGATATTTTTCGCAGATGAAAAAGAAACTAAACCTTCATTTACTCAACAGTACTACAGTAGTGAAACATAATTATTAAGTTTTTAATTGGAAAGTCATCTCTTGAGAGAAACTGGTTAAAAAGGGATGATTCCTATAAAAACCTTAATCGCCTCCATGAATACCAACATATTTAATTAGGTCACCATTATCATCAAACGGAGTAACAAACGTTCAAGTGTTATTTATTTCCTTAACCTCTACAGGTTGGTGATTGACAAAGACTCAAGATAGTGTGGATCCGTATATGTTGGTTGTCGCGATGTTCGATCAGCAGGTTCAAACCTGTACGGCAATAGTATCGTACTTAGTATCGAAAATACATATCCAAATATACAATCCATAGTTTTAAATACCAGTCTTAGTCATTTTTAAATCACTCATTGTATAAATCACTTCTCTTATTAGAAACAACCAATCTCAGTGTACCTATACAAATGAAAAGCGTAATGACAAGACAGTTATTTAATGGGACATTGAAGTGAATAATATAACAAAACAAAAAGATCATTTTCTTCACCATACTTATCTTTGAATTCTTACAGGAAATTTACCAAGCTGAATATAGATTTTACGAAATTTATTTATTTATTTATTTGAACACACAAATATTGGTACAAGGGAGCACCAAATACATATGTGCCACACAAATCTCATGTGGTTTGTGTGTGTGCTGTGATACTGCTAGGGTGCCAAGACCGAAACAGGTGATCTCATTAAGGGGCCACGCCCAGAGCCTTCAACCTATGGGTCTGACTCACATGACAGTGGAGCAATGTCAGGAGATGCAGTCCCATGGTAGCCAGTGACAAACAATTGGTCCATACACTATTTGTTCCTTCAGGATACTGGAGCCCATGTACACCATTGGTTTGGAATTAGGATTTTCCAACTAATCTAGGTGAACTCTCCATATCCACCAACCTGGTTAAGGCGCCGGACATTCGCTTTTCGTCCTCTCAATTTCGTAAACAACAGTAATGTCATGAGAAGGCAGTGAGTAGGACTTTTCTGGCAGAGGCTATATACGCGTGGCCATGTGTGAGCATTTCGAGAGGGCGAGCTGACTCTCCCTACCCTCGGCCGTACCAGGGCATTTAGGAGCAGATTTTACGAAATAGAAAATTTTATTTAAAAAAGAAATATTCAATCATTAAATGAAGGATAATCAGATAACAACTGAATTAATCAATATAGAATGAAATGGAAAAGAATTCAACAACTGTCGATCTATTCACTTTTGAACAACAACTAATCAACTATACAAATGGAGTTTGTATAGTTGATAATTTTTTATTTCATGTTAAATAATATGATTTAAATATCATTCTTATTAGTACATTCATTATCTATATTGAATATCTTTTAGTCAATTTAAACAACTGTCCTTCAAAAATAAATATTATTTATAACTGTCAATTTTGTTTATAATCAAATATGTGTGTAAAACATATTTTTCTCCTTATAGATTATTCTTTCTTTTAGTGTGCTACTGATAAGTTTTTTAAAAAATGTAACCAAATAAATCAAAATGCACATTTGTGTGAAGTTTTATACTAATTCACTTGGTATCGTTTGGATTTATCTTCCCATTGAGGTTTAAGACTCCAATTGATCAGTCTCTTATTGACATATGTGCATACTGTGCGTATGCCTCGATATTGCCTTAATTCACAAGCCTTATATTCACCTTATTTGACAAGCACGTGGCTATCAGGACTCAGTAGCTAAGTGGATAACGCGATGGCGATTGGAGCGAACGGTACTGAGTTCGAGTCCCAGAGTGAACATCAATTGTGAGATGCAAGTACATCCATCAGACGATTCCCAAATAGAACGAAACGCGCGTACTGGATTCCACTGCTAGCCACTATCCATCGTTGCTTACAAAAATTTTATACTAATTTATTTTTTTTTAATCTAAAGTATTATATTTTAATACTATGGAAAATATAAATTAAATAATATCTGAATAACAATATATTAATTAATGAACTCGATTTTCAGTTCCATTATTCTGTACAATGTTTATTGGTGTTATCAAGCACAATCGTATAATTAGAAATAAAAATCACTGGTATAAATATATTTGTCTTTCTGATTCATACAAAGATATCTAGGTTGAAACCTTGACTAGAAGTATAACTGACACCCTAAAACAACGTATTTGGTTTATAATTTCTTGTCTACTATCTAATTCTGAGATGGAACGTGAGCATTTAACTAGTAGACTATCAATGAAATCAGGGTACAAAATGTATATACTACTGTGATGCATGCTACTTATGCTGACAAATATAAGTAGCATGTAACAGCAATTGGAAATACAATGCCTGTAAACAGAAGATTGAATTGAAGAGAACAGGAAGGGAAACAGAGAGCAATTGTAAAAACAACATAATTGAAAGAAATATGAAAAACGTAAAGGATAACTGAAGGAAACTGTACAAATGATGTATTAAATGTATCATTTTCATAATTCACAAAGGCATTCTGTAATATTCGATTAAGCAATAAATTGGTTTTCCCCACTGAGTTCTCGTTCACTACCCTAAGGATCATTGCTAGATGCAAAATTCTAGCCAAAATATAGATTAAACATGAGCATAGGACATAGCAAAACTAAAAATATCATGAATATAATTACAATAGCACATATTTATATGGACATATATTTTTATAAACTTACTTTCAAGGTATTCCATGACCAAGAGAGAATATGTTGATATTCCGGTAATAATTCAATAGAATTTAATGAATCCATATCAGAACTATCTACATTATTTACAATTGTTGAATTATTTGAAGTATGTGTATGTGAGGTTTGTTTGAGATGACACTGTGTTGATTGACCGACTGTTTCATTACTATAATGCAATAGACATTAAAAGATACAGGAAAGTAGAGAGAGGAGAAAGTGTGGAATATTAAAATGAGTAATAATAATAATAACTATGAGTTTTCTTAATCAAACCCAAAGACCAGGTATTGACTTCAGTCTTTTACTATCTCTTCCTACCACAAACATTAGTTAAATAACTTTGATTGTATTGATTGTCATTTATTCGCTTATTAATCCTGAATGCTTTTTATATGAACGTGTGTATGCTGATTAATTACCTTATTCATTATGTGTCTGTAACTTATTTTTGTCTGACTATAAAAGCAAGTTACCTCACTCATCCTCTCCATTATGTTTGCTTCGCTTTACGATTAACGATTATACGAAATATACGTATTCAAAAATCCATTCTCGTATTCGCCTTATTTAATCCCATTATTAACTAACACGATCCGAGTCGATGATAATATAAGTGGATTGGCGACATGTATATTTTAATAACAATCATTCATGCCATCTAAATGGAGTCAGGTTTAGGGCTACTAAAGATATATTCAAATGAACAGTCAGACAGTAGAGATCTTAACTGCTTGCTGGATTCGTCTTCTGATTGGAAACCAGGTTGAAAGTAACTCGAAGACCAACAGGTGCTAAGGTCTTTGTCTCTAATCATTGGTCACAGGGACATGGGAAAAATAGTACAGTGATCCTCCAGGCATAAATAGGATTAATCGATAATCAGACTGGACAATACTACTGCTCACGAAATAACATCCCAATCATATAGGCACCAATAGAAAACAAGAACGTGTTTTGTTTTTTGAAGATATAACGGATACAATTTCATCTGATCATTCAAAATACTTACATGGTAATAAAACAAATTCCAATACCAGTTGATAAAAACGAATCAAAATCAATCAGAGGAAAGGAACTTATAAATAAGATAATGAGGATATCACAAAACAAGCCCATTTGAATCTCAATATACTATATGTGTGTGGAATAATTATCGTGTCTGAGATATATCTGAGTTACAAGACAACCAGTTGACTACAATTATCAAATTTTATCAAGTCGTATAAGGTTAACAATCAAAGACGTTAAATATCATTAGGCGATTGAGGTTCAGCACTCCATATTTCACATGAATTACAATTTACAAATAAAAAATCTTACCCAATTGATAATGATTGAATTCGTCTGGCCAACATAACAGTCTTCAAAATCGCTTTACCCAATTCTCGAAATGAACAGGCACCTTCAAAAATACAAAAATGTACAAATACACAGTACGCACATATGTTGATGGATCAAGTGTTATGCTAGTTAGCTAACTGTAATCTTAAAATACCTATAGTTTTTTTTCAATTATATGACTTTTAGACATGCAGGCGTCATACGTTTCAGTTATGACTAAAACAAACACCGGAAGTATATGACAAGGTTTGCTGGTACGTGGTTTTTCGTTATCTAGATATTTGTGCGAAGATTATATTGAACGCTAATTGAATAAAACTTTTCCAGGCGTTTCTGAGCCACTAGGTTCTTTGACGAAGGATATTTTGGGACTCTTCCAACAGCACATTTGAAAATAAATAGCTATGTAGAAGATAAATGCATTATTTAATTCTGTATATATAAATCTCCATAATTTATCACTAGGAATTCGAAGTCGAAGATTTACAGCTTAAATTCGATATATGTCGGTGAAATTATTCAGCTCAATAAACTCTATGAAATCAAACTTTATATAAGCCGAGAACAATATTTCATAGGTATTAAAAAGGTGGATAATTTGGAAGACAAAATTTAAGCAGATAGCAAATAACATGGTCTTATCTACATATCAAAAGAACAGAGAATAACACATTTATACTGTAACCTATCAAATGGATTATTTCTCATAGATGAATAATGCTTCATAAGTCATTCACTACCAACTGTGTTCCTTTAGAATTTATGTCGTATATGAAATACTAGTGTTGCTGAAGTATAAATTTTAATTTAACTAAATGATTAGATAACCAGTGAGAGAGAAGCATGTGTAGAATCATCTACAGCGTGATAGATAACTTTCAGCACAAATGCATCGGTTAGACCCATTCTAGAATAACTAGAACCAATAATTAGAAAGATTAATCAATTTTGATCTGATTAAACACGAGACAACAAATTACTTTAACTGAATAAACATAATAAGTCACACAGTCTGCAGAATGAAAATGTACATGAATTAGCAAACAAATATGCAACTTTCTCTTCCTAATCTGTGACTCACCAACAGTGGGCATCCACGGCCCCACAACAAAGGGTCTAACACACAACCACTAAACCACTGATTCGGCAACCAATTGTTTACATGTTTAACTCCAATCAATTAGTAATGTCGCGCAACCATCTCCCAATATATTTGATAGGTAACTGCCTAACACTCAGCATAATTAAAATCCACCGATCACAGCTTCTCACTAGAACTCGGAGATTACCTCTCGAAGTTAGTTATTAGTGAACACATGATTATTAATTACTATGAGGGGGGATATATAAGTTTTTGAATTTTGTAGTTAACATCATGATTTTAATCAAATGAACACTGAAAATCAGGAAGCCTTGATCGTTTAACTAACCTCAATTCATAACATTGACTACGAAATAAACAACCTATATACTAATCTCAGAATGTGATAGTATTATAAGAAGTGCTATTTAACTGACTACATAAGATAATAACCCTTCATTGAAAATATGTAGGTCAAAGGCTTATCCACAAACTTGTACTTTGGTATCTAAGATTCATTAAACAGAATTTTTAATAAGAAAATTGGGATGAATTGAATCATCAAAAGTATAAACTACAAATAAATCAACAATCATATACATGTACATTATGACAAATTCACATTAGTGTAAATCATTCGCCTGAAATGCTAATCACTATTAATTCCAAACATAGGGAGGTGAACATGGAATCAGTAGTTTGTGTCTTTCAATCTCTATCGTAATGAAAAAACACAGAATCATGCTCATAAGTGTTCAAGGTTAACCATTCCTCCTATTTAAACATGTTAGAGAAAGAACTAGATTTACATGATGAAACATTCATACAATTATCAACTAAAATTAAAGTGAAAAAAAACATGACAAGGTTTACTACATGTTATAGAATAGGTGGATTATGGGTAGGAGAGGGAATCCAAAACTCATACTACGTCTTATTTGGGACTTATTAGCTGGATGTACCTAGATCCCAGTGTTGATGTTCACACTGAAACTCCAATCACAGTACCTTTCACTTCAAACGTTTCACAGACTATCCACTACTAAGTCACTGAGTCCAGAGAGACACGAATTTATTCAACAGATGTAATGTTTATATCAACAGAATAATTCAAACCGTTGTTTTTTTAAAATAAAGATCTAAATAACTATATTTTTATTAGTTAACACGTTATTGAAATTACCTTTTGAAAAATCCATTACAAAACTATTGTCTTCTTGATTAAATTGACAAATTTGACAACCCATTGAAAAAAGGCATAGATTGCATAGTTCCAAACATAAACTAGGTAATTCTTTACAACAAATGAATTCATAAAGCATTGGATCAATGAATTGATTCCATTTAATATTCTTTGAATTTTTCATCAGTTTACTTAGACAGTTAGTTAAAATTTGATCAATAGTCAAGAGGAATCCTGTAAAATGAAATAACCATATGGGAAGAAATGTATAAGTGATTTTTAGACATTTATTCAGTATCTTTTTTAAAGAAAAACAAATTCTTTCGGTAAGATATGAATAATTATCATACAGTAGATATAAAATTTATACGATAAACCTTATTCGACAGTGAATCAGAAGAAAGGTGAAAAATTCAATCCGAAATAGAAATAAGCATCTAAGATAAGAAAACATGAACAAAAGTAAATAAATCATACAATATTTGGTATATAGCTAACAGTAAGATTTATGACGTGTGTTTCATCCTATCTGGGACACGTCAGCTGGACATTCCTGAAGCCCAGTATTGATGTTCATATTGACACGCGAATCCAGCACTTTTCATTTTAAACCCTCAAAGCATTTTCTACTGAGCTACTGAGAATATCAAAACTGAGAGTTAGGTAAATCCAGTTAGCGAGTCCTAAGTACGACGAAGCAAATGACTTGAATTTCATTGTTAGCCATTACCTTATGAAACCATAACATGTTGTAGTGAACGAGAACACCAATGAGTACAACCGAATGTATTTGAACATAAAATTACAGAATCTCATAGTAAAATCTGAGAACCATATAGTGATTTTTTTCATTTGCAAAATGTCAGTCAATTGTCTCAGACTTGACTGCTCTTTCGTTTCCACATCAATCACTCTCTGTTCTCCTTCTCTTTTCTTTGATCTTCTTAACCTTCTGCCGCCAGACATTTCACTTTCGATTGATGATACATACTACTTATATCTGTCGACGTCAGCAGCACACACTAAAATGTGACTGAACGCCATAACGAGGTAATTCGCTGAGGATGCACATACGGCAATAGAAACTAATCAGTCTTGAATATCAACAGCTAGAAATTACTAACATTTACTAAAAGCAATCAAAATTGATATAAACGACTTCAATCCAAAGAGGTGTACAAAATGTTACGTCCATGAAGGTACATGCATCTATCTTTATAATCAATACTTTTTCATTTAATACACACAAAATTTCAAAATGTAAATGTTTATTTAGCAAATATACTCATTAATTAAATGTTTATTAAAAAACTGCTGTTTGGAATAAGACAATATAATGAAGCGTACATCAAACATTAACAAAGTTAAAGCATTCGATTATATATATTCTATAAATAACATAGCAATTTCAGAATATTATCGATTAAAAAGAATAAAACAACTTGTTGTGGAAAAGAGAATCTGCTGAACCTGTTTTTGTTGACGTGGTTTTTTACAGATTAGTTTTATTCATCTCAGATCGACCTCAGTTGGGAAAATATTAAAAACCAGAAAGCACTGGACAGTCGTAACATCCAAGTATACAGTTCCTCAACAGTGAGCATACATGACTCTAATAGGGACGGAACCGAAGAGTTTTATTTCTAGAGGTGAACCCTTAACCATTAAAACGATTTAAAATTGACTCAATTTACAACATATCACGCGTAGATCATCCAATGCTATTTGTAACGACTGTTTCACTCTCAACGTCTCCAAAATTTACTAGTTACGAATTCTGGTTAGAAGTTTAGAAACAACCCGGAGCAAGTCAATTATTACTTATACAAACAGCGAAGTAGATTTTAAATTTTTTCAAATGAGTTCTCACAAAGACAGAACATTTAACCCATTGCTAGGGAGAACACAAGTTAACTATTGTTTTGCCAATAAACGATGGTTTTAGCAGGTGAGTATAACCGCAATAATATTGTTGTACTTCAGATGTCCGCAAAGAGCTTCAATATAATCTTCTTGGTCATTATTACTTTGATGTTGATATTTTGTTGTGCCCCAACTTACTGCATATTGCAATTTAAATAAAGTCATTCGGTTTTGATTCCGATATGACTTTTGTTCGGAATATAAAGCTATTCTGAATGTCTTGTCTTCCCTATGTCATATTCACCTGTGGATTATTAACGTTAAAGTGTTGTTATATATCAGCTGACATATTGCCAATTTTACATTCGATCCTGTTTGTATTAGACAAATCTCAGTCATTCATAGCTAAAAGGTACTGTAGGCCTAATCCAATCATCCTAAGAGGATGAGAATTTTTGCTCCTTTCGTTCAGTAAATGCATATAACTAACAAAAAAAAAGAGAAACTAATCTTATCCAATTTGATAAGCCCATTATCTTATACCATATAAACAGTTAAAAAGAAACACAGTAATACACAGATGTTGAAGATAGCAAGCCTCTTTATCTTAACTTTCGAAAATCTAAAGTCTTTACTGATAAACAAATCATTGAAAAAGACAGGAAATTCGAAAAATCAATAATAACAATATGAAATTCCTTTGTTAGTTAACTAACAAAGGACATTAGGATAAAACAAAACTCAACATCACTCTCATTCACAGCAAGCTTTTTTGACAGTAAAATCCGATATACTAGATAACAATTGTTGTCAGAAATGAATAAAACTTTTGAGTAAGCAAAGATGGATAGTGGCTAGCAGTTGAATATAGGATGCGCGTTTCATCCTATTCGGGACTCATCAGCTGGATCTACTTGCATCTCACAATTGATGTTCACTCTGGGACTGGAACCCAGTACCGTTCGCTTCAAACGCCACCGCGTTATTTACTTAGCTACTGAGTCCTGATAGCCACTTCCTTGTCCAATGAGGTGAAGTTTAATTCACTTGGTGTTGTTTTTACTTGAATCTTCCCATTAATGTTTAGGACATATGTGCATACTGTGTGTATTACCTCGATATTGCCTTGATTTGAAAGCATCTTTGCTTATAAATTAAATTAGATAAAATATCTCCTTATATATGTTACACAGGCCGATATATTCCGAAGTTACAAACTATATATAGAGACTAAGTGTGCATGAATGTCAACTTTCGTAGAAATAGTCAAAGCCCCCTGATAAACGATTATACTTCTTTTTATTGCGTGTATATGTTGAGAACTGTTCAACTACTGTTTCCCATTAAACATTAATATTGTTTTATGAATAGTATAGTTAGTTTTCAATCTTTAATTTATTAAGTGTGAAACATATCACCTACTCTGTGAAATAACGTCTAAGCATTAACAAATAAATCATACATTTGACGCTTATTTAAGGTATAGTCTATAGTGTAGTTTATAGTACACCCATCAAAAAAATTTATCAAAATACAAAATTTCACATTTTTTTGCTTACCTAGACAGGATTGAAACTGAACAACATGAAGTAATTTACTACTAAACATGGCTAAATCAACATTACTAAGACTGTTATTGGTTATCCACGTTAATTCAGAAAATCTTTTTAATTTATTTAAAAACCACGTACGCATGTCTGCACCAAAGTAGACAGAATCCCATAATTCACTGAAATGAAATGATGTAAGGAATAATATACAGCTTAATAAACTGACTACACAGAACACGCGTAAATGTTGCAGAGTAAAAAGCTTAGTGATTTTTAATTTAAAATAGACAGAAGAGTTAAATTCTGTAGGAATCGTGATTACGGATAAAATTTATGGCTTTTACGGGTCAACAAATGAACTATACAAAGATCAACATGACAACAACTAAATCCCTATGAGTTAATTGAATCAAAAAATAATGTGCAGTTGTGAGTAAAGATAACATACTAACAAAGTATTCAGTAGTTAAAGTCTAACAACAAATTTAAATGTAACGAACTTGATGGAACAGAATGTTAAAATATTCGCTCCAGATGTATAAACTGAACACCATGGAGTATCGCACCATGCACAGGCTAAATCAACCATAGTGGGATAAATCTCTTCCTTCAATGCACCTTTATTTTCAATCCAATGATCATAAATAATCGATAGAATTTGTGACTGTAGCTAAAAAGATTAAAAAGAAATAACGATAAGGTATAGAGTTTGCGTTGAATAAGATTGATCCCTTTCATAATTTCCTAGCAATTATACAGATTTACCCAGGCAAGCCTAGATTTGACTAAAGCAGTATAAATATCAATTAGTTAGAACAAAAAGCTATACGCAGATGTTGAAATAGATTACATAGTTTGCTATGAAATCCAAGTACATAACCACAGTTATTAACAAACTTGCAATGAAAAAACAAACGATACTACTGTCAAAATAGAGCCAACAAAAATTCAACCAGTATTTAGAGGCGACAATGTATATGAAACGATCGACCAGTTATTAAGAAATTTCCTTACTGAAACATACAAAGTTACAAAGCTTGTTTCTTTAGAAAACAATAACATTCAAAAATAGTTCAGTTCTGATTCTGTATCATTTGTAATTGTATCCGAAAGGTGGTATCAGAGGTTAGTTTATGTATAGAATATAGAGGGTATTTGTATTATTTAAAACGGCCTTGGGCTTTTGGTAGTTTATAGGACCATACTATTTCTAGATGTTTCTGAGAAGCTTCTATTCAATGACGATTAGATAAAAATGTTTCATAGTATTTTATCGGCCCCTATGTACTTTTTTAAAGGAATACTTTGAATCCCCCCAACAGTAATCACTGAATATATATCCTTTATAATAAATAAAAATACCACAATCCACACATAATTCATTGAAGAAAACATTTAAATGTGAGAGCACATCTGGTCACAAACCTGATCAACAAACACAAATAAAAATAACGTTGATGAGACGTTTTGTTTTTCCACGTAATCATAACTTACATCTGAGCTTACATAAAGAAGTCCATTCAATAAATAACGTAATAAATTAGTCGATTTGTAGTCCCAATTAAATCGTACAGAAATGTTATCGATTAATGTCCTTATATTGCATAATGAGTCTAGTTTCAAATTGATTTTACGGAGGGAGAAAACAAAAAAGACATATTGATATCATTTATAATATTCACAATTATTACTTAAAATAAACTACAAAAATATATTTACCAAGATCAAATTGATGTTGACTTATTGAGTGATTATTATTTGCTATTTACAGGTTACAAACAATAAACCAGTGAATAAAAACACTACACACTTTATTCTCATCTACAAATCTGATAGTTCGCTTTACAACACGTTTAACATAAACAAAAAAAATCATATTTTAATTAAGATCACGAACCGATTAATGTTAGACCACTATTGTAAACCTGAAAGCACTGAACGGACTTCTCAGCAGTGTGTATCTACGATCCCTGACGCTGGATTCCAACACAGGAACATCAGTCTCGTGTGTGAACGCCTGAGCTCTAGACCACTGAGCCGGCATCTAAATTCAATCAACCCACGATATCGTGCGATCATCTTCTGTTATCTTCGGCGGGTAACTGTCCCACACCAGACATGGTTGAACTCCACTGGCCACGACTTTTCACTATAACTCCGAGAATCATCTCTCGAAGCCAGTCACTAGTGAGCACATGATCATATGAAAATAATTCACTCAGTAATCCACTGTATAAAAAGAGATATTGGCACAGGGTACTTTGATAATAGTTACTCTGACCTTGATAACTTGCTTGAAGCATAACTAAAACAAAAAGACAACTGACATTTCTATAAATATCACTTGACTGCTTGTCCTTGAGTTAATAACCAACCCTTGGCCGATTGATTATACCATGTACTAGATTTTATACCACCTGTATAACTGTTTTGAGTATTTCCACCTAAAAAATTATTTGAAGTTTTTATTTTCAACTCTCTTGAAACTCAATCTCAATGAATAAATGTAATTTGAATATTTGTCCCTAACTCATAAACAAAAGAAATCATTGTCTTGTGAAAAATGTACAAATTTGTTACTTGCACTTGTTTGGTGTGAAACAACCCATGTTAATTAAAAAACACAAACATATTAAACTTGATGCCTTGAAATAATATCACTCAATAAATGAACACACGAATCACTGAAAGTGTAAAGAACAACAAAATCAGTAACCATGATAAAGTTGTCAATAGCCTTATCCTACATTTCCCAAACGACAAGTGAAAAATGAAGGGCATTGGCAGACTATTGTCAGTATGTGCAGTAATCACCTAGCCAATGTTGCAACTCAAAATCGGTTATATACACACTCAGGTGGAGAGAATCAATTCATTATTTAGTACAAAATTATATACTACTTTTATCTGTCAAAATAAGTAGCACACATACTATATATCATTATTTTAAAGAGAGTAAGAACAAAGGTTGGTGCAGAATAAAATGAAGGGAACTATGTGTATGAAATATCATTATCTGTTAAACTATCAGTTATTATGGATGCATCACAAGTAACCACCGCGTAGTTTATTTTAAAACAGCACTTATCGAAAAATATACGGAACGATTTCAAATCTTATTCATAACTAGAAGGGATAGTGAAGATTGTAAGATTTCGGCCCAATTATTGCTCAATCATGTGCACTGGGTCAATTTTGAATGAAGAGAGATCTAAATTCCATGAAATGGTGTGGAGGAATGGATGAGAAGTCAGATATTCCTTACTTTAACTACAAAAAAAGGCCATGAAATGCGATTTCGGAGACCAGATGCAAATTCAATTTAATGATTGTTTGATTATTGGAATCAGCATTCCGAACTCGGAAAGGGAGTTAATCCGAAAAACTAAAATCTCACTTCAAGATATTAAAGCAGCCTGTATTAATTACGAAACGATGAATGAAATTAATTTTTAGTCGATGAAAATTTCTGATACTTCGCGCATTTGTCACAATGAAGTACATTTTCAAAATCGCTCAGATTTGGGTTTAAGTAATAATGATTCTCATCCTCGTGAATACATCGGAAACAATCTGTCAAAGAATTCCAAATTTGGCAAATTTTAATCAGGTGATGGATTCCATTCACGGAAATCATCCGTATTTCATAATGCTAAATGCTTTAAATGTGGTAAAGTTGTTGATAAGAAACGTCGTCGATTGCATTATGATATACTACTGTTGTTGTAGATACACTTCTTATTAAATAACTGTAAAGAGCTATACACTAACCACCTTCAGTATATAACATGCTTCAGAGGTTCTACTCAGAAAGACATGCAGTAAATAACTAAAAATTACTTCTTTGGATAGAGAAATTAATAGTCAGAGCATTTAATTAACATTACTATAGTTATAAATGCATATGAACAAATAAACGACGCAAAATGTACATCAGACATCTATTTCTCGGATGATTTACCTTTACCAAATTCTGATCTCCATTTACTGGATTTTTTATTCCATGGACCATTCGGTGTTAAATTGAGAACACCTAATGCAGTTTCAACAATATCTACCAAAAGTTTCGCGCGTTGATAACTCATCCCTGGCCAAAAGTAAGTGTGTATACTTGTAGTTAGTTTTATGTCAGTAGTATTTTTGCTACCTGTTCGAGTATGAATAGTAGTGATGCGACACATTGAACTGATAAAACTTATTAGTTTAACTAGAGAAATAAAAAAATTGAAATGAGACTGAGTGATGTTAGTTTCTATGATGGAATTAAAAGAAACGGAATTTATTGATTTGGTTGATAACTATTCTCTTTTCATAGGCCATGATGGATGTTGGCTAACGGTGGAATCCAGGTAGAGCGCTTTGTCATATTTAAAACTCGTCAGCTGGATCCCAGAGTTGATGCTCACTTCACATTATGCCTTACATATTATCAATTAACGAGATAATGAGTCCAAACAGTCACTGATTTGTGTAATCGCGTGAATTTTAATTCATATCTATCCGTTGTTTTGATCTTTCCATTTATGTTTAGGACTGTAGTTCATCAGCCTCTTTTAAGCATGTGGTCCTGGACTCGAATCGCAGAACGAACACCAACTATGGGATGAGACAGCTACATCCAGCCGAGTCCCAAACAGGACAGAATGCACGACCTGGATTTGTTGTTAGCCACTATCTATCTCTGCTTCAAAACTGTTTGTGACTTAATGATAAATATCGAGGTAATCAACACAGGATGCAAATAAGTCAAAAGATATTGATCATTTGGAATATAAACCAATACAGGATTCACTCTACAAAGACAAATTTAATTTTATCATGAAAAAAATTAATTGATAAACAATTATCTTCACTTTATTCGCCAACCATCAACAAAATAACTGGTTCCAAGGTTAACAATATGCTCATTTATTTTAACTGATCAACTAAACGGAAATTTTACATAGATACCTAGATTTTAAAAACTGCCATCTAATCTGGGCAGATGGAACTAGTTAAGTGAAGTAGTTAATGCAATTAATTACTTCGCTTCTTGTTCAAACAGATGCCGACACAAATTCTGGTGAGTATGTGTACTTAGTGGACTCCAAACATTATTACAGTGCTGTGTTATTCTCACGTTTTATATCGTATTTATTCGAGTTTTAATTTCATTCTTCCTTGCCAATAACTCCCATACAGTACCCTTCTTTTTCCATTCTTAACGCTATTAACTTGATAGTTTACTGAAATTTATTCTGATAACTAGTAGATTTAAACACAATGGTTCTACGTCTATCATGTTCCTTGTACGCTCTACTGTACAAAATAACAGTCTAGAGCAGAAACAATAAGAAATCTTCCAACATATAATTTGTCTTTTATCCTTTATTGCCTCGAGTTCAATGAAATAGAACAAACTTATACAAGACCACCAGATGAAAAAAATTACTTAAAAAATACGATTGTATAGCTCCAGAAAATGATATCACCGAATAAAAAATTCTCTTCATTGAAATGTATTTATTCTTTCTAACAATAACTATTTACCATCGCTATCGCTAAACCAGTCAAGAATAACATAAAATACCTACATAAAATGGTTTGAATTATGTTTTCTGGTTAGCGTTTTTTAGCGAGTTAGTCTTCTACGAGATGGGGTCGCTAACCCTATACCCAACCCTTCTCCTTTACCCGGGATTGGGACCGGTAGTGACTCTAGAAGAGCTACAGGCGGACGTCAAGACAGTTCTACTGTACGGAGCTGAAACTTGGAGAACTACTACAACTATCATCAAAAAGGTACAAGTATTTACAAATAGCTGTCTACGCAAGAGACTCAACATCCATTGGCCGGATACCATCAGCAACAGCCTTCTGTGGGAGAGAACAAACCAGCTTCTAGTTGAAGAGGAAATTAGAAAAAGATGATAGAAATGGATAGGACATACATTGAGGAAATCATCAAACTGCATCACGAGGCAAGCCCTAACTTGGAATCCTAAAGGGAAGCGGAAAAGAGGAAAGCCAAAGAACACATTACGTCGGAAAATAGAAGCAGATATGAAAATAATGAAAAACAATAGGAAAGAGCTGGAAAAGACTGCCCAAGACAGGGTTGGATGGAGAGTGCTGGTGAGTGGCCTATGCTCCTCCACAAGGAGTAACAGGCGTAAATAAGTAAGTAGTCTACATAAAATAAAATAAATAGACACTTCAAAAGTAACTTACCTAAACATAATACATCATTTTCCTGCATACTTAAAACACTCTCATCTTTTATCCTGTTCAAATCAAACAAATTATCAAACACTTGCAAACGCATCTCAGTATCTGATAAACAAATAATACGTTGATTACTACTATTGATAAGATTAGCATTATTCGATATTTCTATGCTATTATTGAAACGAATAGATTTACATATCATTCGTATACATTCTGTTAAACTGGAGAAAAGTTTTTGAAATTGATTACGATATGATGGATTTGAACAATTGTTAAATGTATTACAACAAGTTAAAAATATATCCATAAAAATTTGAGTAGTAGAAATGTTGGACAGTATAAAATTCGTCGATTCTTCACCATTATTATTATTGTTATTATTATTATGATTTGCTTTACTTTTCAAATGTAAATATTTGCATAAAAACTTATGAATTCCATTCAATGCTAATATACGTACACAATCATTATGATGTGAAGCACTGTGTGTTAAAATAGTAGGTACCTGCGAAACAATAAGAATTAAATTATAAAATAATTTAAATACTTTTTGTAACTAATGATAATAAAACATAGAAATATTGCATGTAGTTAGTACGTATAATTAACTAAAACTATACATAATTATGGTTGAAACTTAGCAGGTATTCCAATGTTAACTTGAAGTTAAAACAGCCAGTTATGATGAGCTTAAATGTTTTTGGTGTATGTGTGCAAACAGTTTGTACTTCCCATGTATCCGCATCCCAGAAGGATATCTCCTTCTGATGAACTTTATAAAGGGACTGTACTGGCATTAATAAATTCTCTGGTCTAACAGTTCAAAACAGTAGAGTCGATGGGATAACTGCTTCACGTTAGTGAAATATGACCGATACACTATATTAAAATACTTAGCTAATATAATGTAGTAAGTATGAAGAATGCGCATAGAACTAACCAGCTGTTTCACTGACAATGGTAGGTCGGAATAATCTTTCAGAATATATAATCGTAACCAAACAAGCAATTTCCGTTCATTTATATCAGAATATTGATCATCTTTTGAGTTGAGAAAAGTCAAAGAAAGATGTTCAAGCAGTTGATCAATTAGAAGATCATTCTTAGATAACTGTAAAGCTTCCGAATCCGATACAACCAAAATACTTTCCAATGCATCTGAACTAGGTAATAATGTGAACTGACTATTTAAACAACTATGAATAAAGTTATCCCAGCTTGTATTCTGCGAAACAAATGCAATGAAAAACACAAAGAAACAATTAATTACTTATGAGTGGTAACTATCACTTATTACAAATTATTATTATGTGCTGCACAATGTAATTGACGATATAGAGTCTCAAACAGTTTAGGAATATCCACAAAGTTCCATAAAAAACTACAGATCGAAGACTTAAGAAGGTACACACATCGATAGCAACTTCATCCAATCTGTTTTTACGCTTGCTTCCAATTACCGAAGTTACAAACTCCCTTACGGTTTCAGAAAGTCACGGAGTAGACAGAGTTACATCCATCTGCTACAAACATGTCAGATTTCATATTCTATTACTCTTGTTACAACTACTTATAAGATCCTTAGTGCATTCAATTTGGGATTTGGTGACACGTCGGAGATTTTTTAACGAAGGAGGTATTTTACAGGCGCGGACAGCTTTAAAAATGTGGCGAGGGAAGCAGCCATCGTTAAGGCAACGTGACAAAAACTTTAATCTAGTTGTTTCTCTCGATATCCTGCAACGAATTGTCACCAACCTTTGCTGGAAGCATGCATTTTTCGTAACCGCATATAAAATAACTCGGTTCAAATGTGGAGACAAAACTAGCCTGCACAATTACACGTCTATAAATATAACAATAGTTACCCCCGGAACGGTGAAATAAATTATATACGACGAAATATAAGATTATTTGATTGATGAACAACTTGTTACCAATTCACATGTTCACATTAAATCTAGATCTTTCATGACGCACATCATAAGGGACCAGAGATCCCTTGCTTATGTGCCTGAATTTCTTCCTGTCGCTGACACGAAATAATTGAAATAAACTCCTCTCTCCGGTCACGAGTGGTTTAATTTAGCTTGTCTTAGTGTTTTCTATAACCTATACAAATGATACAGTAATCAAGTGTGGGTAAACCTTCTCTGCATAATGATGATATGAAGTCAATTTACTCTTTTTTTGCTCACAAGCTTACTCATATTCAACATTGAATCGGTATTGAGATTAACAAAATCCCCTCAAGGTGCTCAAAAACAAATTGAAAACCTAATACTCCTAAATGTGAATGGATTTATGACAATACTCATACTTCGTCACTGCCCCTGAATGCCCTGGTACGGCCGAGAGTGGGAAGAGTCCGCTCTCCCTCTCGAAATACTCTCACACAGCCACGCGTATACAGTCTCTGCCAGGAAAGTCCTACTCACTGCATTCTCGTGACGGGGATGTTGTTTACGAAAATGAGAGAACGAAAAGCGAATGTCCGGCGCTCTAACCGGATCCCAAACCAAACCAATGGTGCACATGAGCTCCAGTATCCTGCGGGAACAAATGGCGTATGAACCAATCGTTGGTCACCGGCTACCATGGGACTGCATCTCCTTACGATGCTCCACTGCCTTGTGGGTTAGACCTTTAGGTCAAAGGCTCCATAAGATAACCACCTGCTTCGGTTTGGGCACCCGGGCAGTATCACAGCCCACACACAAATGATGAACTCTCTATGTCTATGGAAATTACTTTTCTCGCTTCGAATAACAATCAAATTATTATTATTATTATTATTATTATTATTATTATTATTATTATTATTATTATTATTATTTACTACGACATTATTCACCCTCTTTTATACTTATACAGCGGCTCGTCTTTGGTGGAAATTCGACTGTATCTAAACGTTCTCGAGTCACTGTCCGGTTGAAAATTGCATGTTTCCACTGAATACGAGGACTGAAGCAGTTTTTCTGAAACCACGTGCACCATTCAAACTGGCTGCCTTCAACGTTCGCACACTTATGCAGGTCGGACAACAGATAGGGCTGGCTATGTCTTTGGAAAGTCTTAATATTGATGTTTGTTGTCTATCCGAGACCCGTATTCAAGACTCTGGTGAAGTATTACAAATTCGCTCTACATCTGTCACTTCAAAAAGCTTGTTTTACGTGCGCTTATCCGGGGACCCTGTGGCATCTTCGTCTGGTCTTGCAGGCGTTGGTGTCGCACTAAGCGCTAGAGTTGAGGCAGCACTAGTCGATTGGATCCCCATTACCAGTCGGTTATGTGCTGTTAGATTAGAAAGTTCCATCAAAGTGAGAAGAAATTGGCGTGAGAAACGATGTCGTTTCATCGTCTCCGCCTATGCCCCGACAGATTGCAACCTGGATGCAATCAAGGATGAGTTTTACCACCAGTTATCTGTTCTTCTCCAGAAAGTGCGTTCGACAGATATTGTAGTACTAGCCGGAGACTTGAATGCTCAGGTCGGGCGTCTAGGCACAGAAGAGAGTCGTTTAGGTGGCCGATGGGGACTCGTTGGTCTCAGAACAGATAACGGGGACCGTCTACTGCAACTGTGCACAGACCACAACCTGTTTCTGGCTAGCACTTACTTTCGGCACAGTCATCGCCGATGTGCCACCTGGCGTCCTCCCTCTACATCTCAAACCTCGACTCAGATTGATCACATCGCGATCAGCTACCGCTGGCGTGGTTGTGTACAAGACTGCCGCTCCTTTTGGAGTACATATCTGGACACTGATCATGCCTTGGTCTGCGCCAATCTTACCTTACTTTTCAGTGGACAACGAAGTGACCGCCACCAACGGATTGATGTTAGCAAGCTGGTTGTAACTTCTGTTGCAAGTAAGTATCGAACCGAGCTAGTTTCCGGGCTAGCTACCATTCCACCAAAAAGCATAGATGAGCATTGGTTGCAATTGCATGACGGGATGAAAATGGCTGTACAGTCAGTTGTGGGTTCGCGAGACGTCCCGCTTATAAGCACTGTGTTTCTTCAGGCTCCTTACAACTCATCGAAGCCCGTCAGTCTACCCCATGTGACCATGAGTTTGACCACAAAAGAAGGATGTTACGTAAGGAAATTGGGCAAAGCTTGCGTAAGGACCGAGAAGCCTGGTGGTCGGAGCGTGCTAATGAGCTGGAAGCAGCAGCTGCATCTGGTAATTACCAGAAGCTCTTCCAACTCATCCGAGCCACTAGCAGCAAGAAGTCTGGTGTGAGTGAAACAATCTGCGAGCATGATGGGATGCCAATCACTAACATCCATCGACGTCTTGGACGATGGGCTGAATTTTTCGAAGGGCAGTTCAACTGGCCTGCTGCTCCGGCAACATCGGTCAGACTGTCCTGCCCTCCATGGCCGGTGACGACTGATCCACCAAATGAGGAGGAAGTCCGCAAGGAACTCCAACTCTTGAAGCGTTACAAATCACCTGGTCCAGATGACTTACCTCCGGCTCTTTTTAAAGATGGTGGTGACTTTTTGACTAATGAACTGACTGTGTTGTTTACAAAGATCTGGGAACTAGAGAGTGTACCAACGTCATGGAATGAGTCGATAGTTGTCCCTATCTTTAAAAAGGGTTCACGTCGTTCCTGTAACAACTATCGAGGGATAAGTCTACTTCCGATTGCGTCCAAACTATTGACTTCCGTCATACTTCGTAGGTTGTTCAAAACCCGAGAAAGATTGACTCGCGAGGAGCAGGCTGGGTTTCGTTCTGGTCGAGGATGTATTGATCATATCTTCACCCTCCGCCAAATGTTAGAACACCGCCATACTTATCAAAGGCCAACAATCGTAGTGTTTCTTGACATCAGGGCTGCCTTCGATTCGTTGGATAGGACTGTTCTCTGGGATTGTCTATTGAAGAAGGGTGTGCCTGAGAAGTTTATTAACATCCTAAAAGCCCTATATACAAACACCTCAGGCAGAGTGAGGGCATACAACCACCTCTCTCCATTGTTCTATTCGAGCAGTGGGGTTAGACAGGGTAGCCCATTCCTCTTCAACTTTGCCATCGATGACATTCTGGAAACAGCTCTGATGGATGTAGGTAATGGTGGTGTGGATCTGTTGCCTGGAGAAAGACTTCTCGACCTTGAGTATGCGGACGATATTGTCTTACTGTGCGATAATGCCCAAGGCATGCAATCCGCACTTAATCAGTTGGCAATCAGTGTCCGTATGTATGGTATGTGCTTTGCACCTTCGAAGTGCAAAGTACTTCCACAAGACTGATAAGATTCTATTCCTGTACTCACCGTGAATGGTGAGCAGATAGAAGTAGTCAAGAAATTCGCGTATCTAGGTAGTGCTGGTGGTGGCGTGAGTGATGAGATCAATGCACGTATAGTGAAAGCCAGAGCGGCTTATGCCAATCTGGGCCATCTTTGGCGCCTTCATGATGTTAGTCTGGCTGTAAAAGGTCGGATCTACAACGCGTCGGTGAGAGCAGTTTCGCTCTATGCTTGTGAAACCTGGCCTCTCCGAGTTGAGGATGTTAGACGACTCTCTGTGTTTGATCATCGTTGTCTCCGAAGGATTGCTGACATTCAGTGGCAACACCATATTAGTAATGCAGAGGTTCGGCATCGTGTGTTCGGGCACAGAGATGATAATTCAATTGATGTCACCATCTTGAAACACCGACTTCGGTGGCTTGGAAATGTTCTCCGAATGTCGTCCCAGAGAATTCCACGTCGTGCATTATTTGCCGATGCTGGGACTGGTTGGAAAAAGCGGAGAGGTGGTCAGTGTATGACATGGTGTCGTGGTATGAAAGAAAGCTGCAAAGGACTGGCTTGTGTTCAGTCAGTCAATCAGTCAGCTACAACGTAGGACCAGGCACATATGTGCATCGTTCCAGGTTGCCATACCGCATCAGCACAACAAGATGAACACCGGATTCATAGGAGTGGTTAGGTCAAAGGTGGTAATATATAAGAGAAAGATTGCATATAAGGATATAGTACAGGAAGAAAGAATTTGTTCGTAGAAAGAAAGATATGAAGTGATTTTAATCTCTTAGTTTAAGGGAAGACAGGGAGTGTATACACCGACGCCATTGTGATCGATTCTGAGCCATGTCACCAAGAGTCTCCAACCATTGGTTACGATTGTCACGCGGACCCCAACCAAGTAGTCTGCATCTACCAACATGGCAAAACTAGAAGTTAGTGACTTCAAGC